CCAACACCCTGTCTTGCTGGGCAGACAAGACACAGAGTTGGGGTTACTGCCTCCCTCTCCCCCACAGAGCAATGTGGACACTGATCACTTCAGCTCTGGGAGAATGCAGTTCTAGGGCTCAGCACCCAAGAAACCAACTCCTAGGGCTCAGCACCCAAGAAACCAACTCCCAAATGGGACCTAAATACATTCATCGTTTCTCTGTATAGAAGTTTTACATGCTGAAAGTTCATCAGCTGAGCCCCCTTTATCAAAGAAAGAGAGATGTGCAATGGTTGTTCCCCAAGTACCAATTATTTACACAAGGCCTGACAGAAAACAAAAGTATTTTTATTCAGAACAAACAGTAGGATTTAAGTGGTTGCAAGTGAAAGCAGACAGATGTAAGTAAGTTACTAATTAAAATGAATAGAAAAGGCAAAATTCGTTCTAATCCACTAAGAAATGTATTCAAGAAGATTCTTAACCTGTTCTTATTTAAGGCATATTCTTCAAGTCAGAGACAAACTCTTTTACTCTGACTTGGGTCTCCAGCCCTCTTTGTATCTTTTTGGAGTGTACCAGGCCATTTCCTTGACCAGCCAAAGAAAAAAGGGCTGATAGCTTCCCATTGATTAAATAGACTCTCCCGCCAAGGCAGGGACCTTTTTTTTACATCCTTCCTTCTGTGGAAAAATACCATGTTCAGAAATGGATCCCAATACCACATGTTTTCTTAGGACCAACCAACTCCTGGATTTAAAGGACAAACAACTTGTTAAGTTGATCACTCAGTCACTAGGCTCATTGACACATTTAAAACTATAAACAGACTCATACTACATATTTCTAACTTCACATATAAGAATGATGCAATATATATATATTTATAAGCCAATTTTCATAAAGCATGGGGGGAACCCTCACACCCATCATCAACCATTACACCAATATATAACATTGCCACTGTTGCTAACACAGCTGCTGATCCCTCATAAGGTAAAGTGTAATTTTGATCACTATAGACAACCATTTTAGCTGTGAGTATCCTGATGCCGCCAACATAGACATTTACTGAACTATTATGTAGTTAAGTAACAATTATGTTTAGATTATATTGATCTATCAAGTCTGGGGGCAGGAAAATACATGATCATATATCTAAGGAAACACAGTCTACAGATGTGCATTTTATTATTCAAACTCATCAGGTGTAATGTTTCTTTTAGTGCATGGGAAAGCTTGGAGTTTCACTATGCAAACTAATAATTTCTTGTTTTGTATTGACATAGAACTTAGCCCCTGGTCTGGCAACTCTACTAATAGCCAAACTGGCCCGAGGCACAAGTTAGAGTAGCTACAGGGCTCAGTTGGAATAGTTTTCTAGGCTATTTTCATGGCCCAGAATTCCTGGAGGGTACTGTCCATACGCACTCCCACCATTGGAACACCCCTCCACCAGTCAAGGAGAGGGGAGAAGCAGGAGCAGGTGATGCAGCATTGGTTAGCCTAGATTTTCTATGGCTGAGTTTCCCCAGTCAGGGAATCCTCGGCTGGCTCTTTAAAGCTTTTCATTTCTGTTGTGTCACCAGAGCAGGGCTAAGGTGCAGAGTAGGAGCCTGCACTTGCACCCTTGCTTTGGTATCCACTATATTAGCTGTAATAGATATGAACATGTCATTTTCAAGATGAATCATTTTTCATTAACCCTGTTCCGTATAATGGGTATGATAATCGTTTCAAGCCTGATTTTTTTTATATTGGCTAAAGATATGAAGGGTAGGCATAAATGGTCCATCTTCAGAATAAGCAGAGGTGAATAGTTGTGTTCAGCGGGGGTCTGTTCTGGGACCAGTGCATTCAACATACAGGAAACCCCCTTCCATTTTTGTAAGTGTGGAAGGGGCCGAAAGCCCCCGACTTACATCCTCAGCCCGTATTTACAATGGCATGCAGTGCCTATCATAAATGAGGGTTTGAGTTACGACACCCCCGACTTGTGATGCTTCCTCGGGAACCAATTGCGTCGCAAGTTAGGGGCCTCCTGTATTCATAAATGATCTGGAAAAAAGGGTAAACGGTGTGGTAGCAAAATTTGCAGATGATACAAAATGACTCAGGATAGTTAAGTCCCAGCAGATTGCGAAGAGGGATCTCACAAAATTGGGTGACCGGGCAACAAAATGGCAGATGAAATTCAGTGTTGATAAATGCAAAATGATGCACACTGGAAAACATAATCTCAACTATATGTAGAAAATGATGATGTCTAAATGAGTTGTTGCTGCTCAAGAAAGGGATTTTGGAATTGTCATGGATAGTTCTCCAAAAATATCTGTCCAATGCGCAGCAGCAGTCAAAAAAGCTAACAGAATATTAGGTACCACTAGGAAAAGGATAGATAATAAAACAGAAAATATGATAATGCCTCTATATAAATCCATGGTATGGTAACACCTTGAATACTACGTATAATCTGGTTGCCCCATCTTTAAAAAGATACATTAGAATTGGAAAAGATACAGAGAAGGGTAACAAAAATGATTAGGAGTATGGAAACCTGCCATAGGAGGAGAGATTAATAAGACTGCGACTTTTCAGCTTGGAAAAGAAATGACTAAGAAGGGATATGACTGAGCTCTATAAAATCTTGACAGGTGTAGATAAAGTGAATAAGGAAATTGTATTTACGACTTTACATAACACAAGAACTAGGGGTTACCCAATGAAATTAATAGACAGGAGGTTTAAAACAAACAAAAGGAAGTCCTACTTCATACAACACACAGTCAACCTGTAAAATTCATCCAAAGGATGTTGTGAAGGCCAAAACTATAACAGTATTAAAAAAAGAATTCAGTAAGTTCCTGGAGGACAGGTCCATCAATGGCTATGGTCTGGGATGGAACACGATGCTCTGTGTGTGCCAAACTTCTGTTTGCCAGAAGCTGGGAGTGAAGACAGAATGAATCAATTGATGACTGCCTATTCTATTCATGCCCTCTGCAGCTCCTGGCATTGGTCACTGAGGGTACATCTACACTATAGGGCAAAGGTCAAATTAAGCTACACAACTTCAGCTACGTGAATTGCATAGCTAAAGTCGAAATAGCTTAATTTAGCTTTTGGCACTGTCTACACAGCAGGAAGTCAAAGGAAGAACACTCTTCCTTCAACTTCCCATATTCCTTCTGAAATTAGTCAGAGTAAGAAGTCCTCCAGCTCGACAGTATTTTGAAATAATGGCTTGCTGTGTAGACGTGCTCTTTCTTATTTCAAAATAATGTTAGTCTAAAAAGTTATTTTAGAAAATGAGAGACAATGTATTGACTTTCCTGAATTTCTTAGGAGCCAACAGACTAGTACACTGACTTGGTGTGTCATTATTATTCTGAATCAGTAGTAAGTATACTGGACATGATGAAACATGAGGAATATGTACTGTTAACAGTGACCCGCGTTGTTCAGTCTAAGTATAAGTCACCACCAACTCCAAACTCCCCAAACCTTGCTCAAGGCCAGGTCGAGTCTGTCACCAGCCCTGGCTAGAGTACACCGCGGAAATAAAATCAAAGGAGATCTGGGTTCTCACATCCACCACCCACACACCTTAAGAGCTTTACACCAGAGTTTCCAGCAATAATGCCATTAGCTTTATTTAGAGAGCTGAGAAATCAAGTACAGAGTTCACTTTTCATGGAGAAAGGAGCTGGACATTCAGAAAAAAAGTTTCCTTTTTCATTCAACAGGTAAATGCATGTACAAAATATCAGGTTGAAAATTGTTTGAACCACATTTAAAAAAACCCAACACATTTCCCAGGCATTAATAGATTTTTCGGCATACAAGTGAGCAAATAATTATTGTTATTTCAAATCTCCTCTAGTTTGCACTGTCCGTGTGTGAACTTTGACTAACTCTATATGTAAATCTTTTGCGTTTCAGTATAAATAAAACATAGCAATCAAATTCAGCTTTAGAGTTAGGAATAGGTGATCATGTTTGGCTAAAATAAGAAATAATTTACCTCTTGACCACAATTTGAATCATACCTGAATCTCTGTAGAGGAACAATAAAGTACAGCTCATAATTTTGAACTCCAACTATTTTATTTTTAATTGCTGTGCCCGCAATGCGTCCTGCTTCCAACCTTGACAGGAAGCAAAAATGCCAAAACCCTCTCCCCGCTCCAGTTATACTCATTAGGGACACAGGGTCAAACTTTTTAAGGCTTCTAGGTGCCTAAGATGCACACAGCTACCTAATGGAATTTTCAAAAGTGTCAAACTCCCGTTGACTTCAATGGGATTTAGGAGCCTAGGTGCTTTTGAAAATTCCATCTGGTACCCATGTGCATTTTTAGGCACCTAAAAACATCTTAAAAATCTGGCCCTCAATCTTTGTCTACACATGCTTATTTTTAATATAATCCAGGTATTTGTTCTAATTTTGGTTCAGTTCCCATGGCACTGAATTTCTCTCTCTCTTGGGGTACGTCTACACTGAATGCTTATTTCGAAATAAGCTATTCCGGAAGAAATACTCCAAAATAGCTTATTTCGAAGTAGCACATCTACACTAGAGGGAAGCCTCAAAATTAGTCCAAGGTAGGCTTCTCTAATGTGGATGTTATACCTCCCAGGAGACACGGGGGAGTAATTACTTTGAATGGCTATGCAGAGGAGCTATTTTGAAATAGCAGCAATGGAGTGTCCACACTACTGCTATTCTGAAACAGCTATTTTGGAATAGACATTATTCCTCCAGGAATGAGGTTTACAGATTTTGAAATAAGTCGTTTGTTATCTCAAAATTATTTTGAAATAACAGAATTGCTATGTAGATGCTCACATTACGAAATAACTGTGTTGTGTAAACACACTCAGATTATGCTAGAGTGTCGAAAGGGGATATGCAAATTCCCTTTTTCCGATCTCACTTTCGAAAGCAGAGCTTTTGAAAGTGAAAGTAATTTAGACGTGGCTTTTTTTGGTGAACTCCTCCCCCCCCCATCAGAAAGCCATGTAAACCTCACTTTTTGAGGAAAAGTGGCTTTTCGACAAAGGCGGGGGTTCGCCAAAAAAAGTCACGTCTGTACTTTTGGGCTCAGTTATTGGGCAAACTATCCTGGCAAATATTAAACACTCCATCTAGTGCAGTAGCAATTGAAATCATTGGGATATTTTTTCAATTAAAAGGGTTAAGAATTACTGAGTTCTAGCTACTGCGTCCATTTTTATTATTTCTGTAACAAGAGCTATGTTAAAGTACACAATTGGTGGTGGTTTTATTACATTGACTCTAAAAAAAAATCAGTAGTGACAGATGGTAGAACAAGGAGCAATGGTCTCAAGTTGTGGTGGGAGAGGTCCAGGTTGGATATTAGGAAAAACTATTTCACTAGGAGGGTGGTGAAGCACTGGAATGGGTTACCTAGGGGAAAAAAGTGTCAGGGAAGAAAGGGTGAGACAGTCAGAGAAAGGCAGGCTCTCAGCGTTAGCCCTATGACAGATCTCTCACCATTCCAGTCCTAAGAGACTGAGGATGTTGCAGCTATGGCACTGTGCAACACTGTAAAAGTGACAGGAAACGTAAATAAACTACACGTGGTGCTCACAAGCAGTCTCGGAGCAGGCTGTGTACACAGAGAAAGTCGAGGGGGACAGCAAGCCCTGATAATAAAAAACATTTCTTGGGCAAATGGAAGATTGCTTTAAGCCCTGAGACACGGACACAGGTTGGACAAAAACATCAGTAAAGAAATGATGCAGAGCCAGTTTTCCTTGTGTAGAGCATCCTCATCCTCAGGCTATCTTCCTATGGAATCTTTTCCCTTCACTGTGGAGTTAAAGTTCTTCTTTCTGTTTTATGACCGGCTCTCCTTCAGTGAGATCCTCTTTGCTTTCTCTAGGAGTCTTTAAAAAATAAAATACACTCATGAATTTCTGCATTTTAGTCACTCATGAAAAGGGAATTGCTTCAGTGAGTATTTGGTCTCTGAAAAATGTTTTAAAAATATGATAGGACCATTAAGTGATTTTTATCTTTTCACGTCTTGATGAGGTCTGAATTAGTGTAATTGTTACTAAACAAATGTGATCTCGCATCCCTACATCAGCCCATGGGCAAAGCTATATGTGACATTTCCCTTTGTGTGAAATTCTGTTAAGCTGTGGAAAAAACACTTTTACTGTGTCACAGGTTCTCAAACTGGAGGTCGGGATCTGGGGGGGTCATGAGGTTGCTATATGGAGAGTTAAAAGCTGTCAAGTTCCATCCCAAACTTTGCTTTACCTCCAGCATTTATAAAGGTGTTAAATATATTTAAATGTGTTTTTAATTTAGAAGGGCAGATCACATAGAGGCTTGCTATGTGAAGGGGGTCACTTTGACAACCAGTGCACTATGTAATTCATGGGCAAATCTAAAAATCCCACGGAGAAAATGCTGTCTTTTCTGTTGCAAATTCAAAAGAACTGCCCTTTGCTTTTCGCGTATGTAATTGCCGCAGCAAAGGAACAAAAATAATTACTCCAGCAGGGGATTTGCATTGTGCAAAAGATCTAATGTACCCTGCAATACTCTGCTGATACGAATTTGGGTGTCATTCAGTAAAGGCAGCAAATAGAATCAGGTGGACTATAGGGATGTAAAGTCCTGTTTAGTTAACCAGTTAAACATTATGTTTAACCGGTTGTGACAGGGGGCTTTGGCCCCACACTATAGAACAGACTGTGGATTGGGCCCAGCTGGCTGAGAGCGCCCCTTCCCCCACGGACTTGCCAGGCATGCTCACTGGAGAGCAGAGGTATAAAAGGCTCTGAGACAGGTTACTCAGGGCAGACTACTGAAGTGGAAGGACCTGCAGAGCCAGCTCCCGAGCCTGAGCAGCTGACACAGCCTGAGACGATGCAGCTACAGCCCCAGCAGCAGCAACCACTGCAACCACGGCCACAGTAGTGGAGGTACGGCAGCGGAGAGACATGCGGGGTGGTAGGAAGTGGCCCAGAGCAGGGAATTGATACCCTGAGTGCTCAGTGTGTTGCGGGGAGGAACCCCTGCTGAGCAAGCAGTGGTCTGAGTCACTGCCAATAGAGCCCTGGGCTGGGACCTGGTGGAGTGGGAGGGCCCGGGCCCCTCTACCCCCCTCCCCCCCCACAGTGCTGCTAAGCAGAGGTAGCTCCAGAAGCCAAGGACTAGGCTTCAGGGCCATGTTGACCTCACTAGAGGGGCATGCTATAGCGTTTCCCAAACTATGGGCCACGGCCCGGTACCGGGCTGCGGGAAAAAAATACCGGGCCTCAGCGTGGCTGCCAGGGTGTTCCGGGTTCCCGGACTGCCTGTACAGCGCCGGGTTCCCCAAGCCCTCAGCTGGGCTGGGCGGATGCAGCCGTATGTTTCAGGCTCCCGGCAGAGGTATAGTGAGGGTTACCAGGTGAGCTCTTATTGCTGGCTGTGGAGGGGGAAGGAGGGGTTGGATATGGGCTGCAGGGAAGCAGGGTCAGAGCAGTGGAGCTGCCCGGGGGAGATAGGGAGGGGAACTGGCTGGCGGAAGCAGGGCTGGCTTGGGGAACCAGCTGGCAGAAGCAGGGCTGGCTGGGGGGGCGGAAGCAGTGGGGCTGCCCAGGGGAGCTCGCGTGGGG